ACCTAACACATTTAGCTATGGCACTGTCGTATACATTGAATTATTCCATTTGAGGATATGTATTGAACTTAGGCTCCCCTCCAAAAAAAAAGAAGAAATTACAATAAAAATATTCATAACTCATATTCTCATATTTGAATACCTGAATAATTTCGATTAATCGTTCCCATCCCTAATAGGTAGGTGCTCTCATATTATCAAATTGTAAATGAAATCGTATTTTGCCATCTGCAGTCTGAATGACTGGCCGCTGTTTTAAAAGTTGGCTGCATGTCTAATTTATTCTCATTTTTGTCCCCTTGAAGCTCACCATGTATTCACAGGATTATCTATCTGCTGAGTGAACGAGCTGGAGTGTAAGGGGGGTTTCTGATGGTTGAAAAGGTTATGTTAGGCTCCTAATCTGCATCAAAATGGAGCAGTGAGAGTTCTACTTAATGAGCAATAAAGTAAACAGCTGGGGTAAGACGATAGCCTCATTTTGAGAGGCAGTGTGAGAGATGAAGCGGAGTGGGTCAGTAGGGTTGGCTGGTGACGGCTGCAGTGACGGTGTTTGGTGGTGGACTGATTAAATCACACTCCCACTGCCTATCACTCGCTCTGCCTGCTGTGCCACACTAGCTGCCTCTGTTTTCAGGCCACTGAGTGTAGTGGAAGTCACAGTAATCCTGTTGGCTCGGTGCAGTGCACTAATACAGGCTAGGACTGGGGCAATGCACATGTGTAGATAAAGGTGTATGCTTGAAGAGACCAGATACATCAGACCCACTTACACTCGTACTTTTTCAAAATTCAGTTTAATTTAGTCTTCCTTTGAATATCAGAGAGTGGGAATTTAGCCCATATTGGGAGGAGAAGAAGAAGAAGAAGAAGAAGAAGAAGAAGAAGAAGAAGAAGAAAGAGCTTTGTTGTTGGTGTAATGTTGGTATTGACTTTGTTAGTTCTTTTTTGGGGTCAAATGTGCAAATCTGCTCTGTTTTGCTTTGTGCGAGAGTTAGCCTTCTTTCTCTCTCATTTTAGGTGAGAATATTAGCTTGTTCTTTTGGTAGTCTACCCTCGGATGTTTTTTGGCTCAGGAAGCCTACCCATGCTTAGACTCTGAGGACAGCTGCTATATTTCCTGCCTTTCATCTGCAAGGCATTTGATTGTGCTTTGTTGCTACAATCTGTGTGTAAGAGAGAAAACGAAAGAGAAGTTGCTTCTGCCTCGCTAGAAGATGTTCAATAAAAAACTTCTTCTGCCATTCAAAAAAACGGTACTGTCCAAACAAAAGATGTAATTGGAACAGAACATTAATTTACTCAGTTATTTACTTTTATTGCAGTACAGTCTGATGCTAGCCTGCTAAGTTGTATCTCTGTTTCCCGACTCTCACGTCTGTGCTAAGCCTGAGAAATGTCCCACTTAGAAAGATTTAATACAAACGTATTATTTACACTCTGTGCACAGTTTGACCTTGATCTTCTGCTGAACCGAAAACGTTCTGTTATCACTTTTGCCAATGCCACAACACCCCTCTGATGGGAGCCAGAGCAAGAGGCACTTTGTGTGAGTTGTGATGTTTGGTTTCTATGGTGCAGCACTGAATATCAGAACCTCTCTTTCCTGCTCGGTTTCTCTTTCAAAATCTGTTCTTAAGCAATTTGATTCTTATTGAAAACCTCAACATGAAAAGCTGCCCCTAGTCTGTACGGCTAATCAATAAAAGTGTTCCACAGGGCTCTTTACTTGGCCCATTTCTATTTACATGAATGACATCCCCTGTTGTTCTTCTGATTTGTGGCAAAATGTCCTATAGAGATGTACTCTTTTATGTTCCGGACAAAACATTTGCTTAAAGACCTGCCAATCATCTAGAAATCTGGATTGATTCTAAACTATTATAGCTAATATTTCTTTGTACAGTCAAAAATCCAGACGCATGTTTTTCCTGTTAATTTGTAAGTATACAAGCAGATAAAGCCATCATAATAAGCCTGCAGTCCACAGAAATGATGTCATTCAAATCCACAGACCTGCCTGCAAAGCTAGATCAGCATTCATCATGCTGAACTCTTTTCCTCATTATCTCTGCATCACTATCCTCCTGCCCTCCTTTGGCATCACTCCTTCCATCTTTTCTTTTGCTTTAGTCTTCAACAACTCTGTATCATTTTCTTCTGCCTTGCATGACCTTATTCTACCCCATCTTTTCATGTTCCTCTTCACCGCAGGCTTTTTGGGGTTAGCAGACTCTGCATGTCTTTGGAACAGACTTCTTGGCTTTGCTTTTGCCTCTTGTGTTCATATTTTGACAGTGTTCTTCTCTGGTTAGTGCTACTTTGAAGTGCAATTGCTGCATGGCTTCCCTTCTGTTACACAGAAACCTTGCACTCTTCCGATGCCTTCAGGGTTATTTCATTTTCTGCCTTTCCTGTGACTTCAGCCTTGTCTGCCCAGAAGCTCTTTTAGCCCCTTTTTAAAAGGATTACTCAAAGCCGGAGGTGTCAGCAGGTGGTCAAAGTATTGTCTGAACTGGCCTGTGGAGTTGGTTTGGTATTTGTTAATATGACTGTTCATGCCAAAGAAATAGTTAGCTAGTTAGCACTTTGATCGTTTTTGTTTTTAAGAAATTTATAAAAAAAAAAAAAAAAAAATATTAAGTTGATACTGGATTTTATTTTTAAATGTATTGCATCCCCCTCCTCCTTAAAAGAAAGCTGAGACAAGAGACTGCTTTGATACTAGCCAGTGCCTCTCTTTACTACATCAACAACATCTGTCTCCAAAGAGAGAAATATTCATGCATGGGTGACACCACATTGTTTGACAGTGGTGTTTATGATTCCCATCATGTTTGTTGTCCGTACTCAGAAAGAGCTTGGTCAGGATGGGATATTCTGATCCCGGGTCAGACGGGGATAGTGGCCTGACTCGACCAAAAGGAAAACAAGACATGTCGAGACCACAGCCATAAATACAATATATATATATAGCATATTTTTTACACTTAAGCCTTTAAATGTACTGCAAGTTCAAAAACAGGATAACATTGACTTGGATCAACTTTGAAGCAGGCTAATTGGTAGTTCTTTCTTTGCAGTGTTTTCAAGTGTGAGTGTTGTTCAGCCAGTATATGAATACAAATGGTGTTAACGTAGAAAGCTTTGTTGCTGTTACATTTGAGTCCTGTCAGGGTTGTCCAAGATACACCAATGAGTATGTGTGTATTTTTCCTCTGGATTGATAGGGCTCTATGTAGCAGATGAATCAGATACGAAGAGCTAAAGTGTGTGTGTAGAAGGATATTGACCTGGTGCCTTCCACAGATTATGATTAATCTACAATCCAAGATGGGGGATGGAAAGATAGTCGTAATGATTGAATTGGGGAACAAACAACTGTGTTGGTGAAAGATACTATGTATTTGATTTGTCAGATTTGATTTATTTTTTATAATCGAAGATATAGGTTGATGCAGGTTATCATCTGATGTTCAAGTAGCCTAATGACTTTCAAGATTGTAGTTAAAACACTTTAGCACTTAAACACAATATTTGACTCTAACATAAATATACCATTAATGGGCATGTAACCGCTCATTCTTGACAGCTTTAAGGTTAACCAATTTGGCTTTGCTTTTAAAAAACAATGTGTCATGTCACCTCTGTCGAAACCCCATAATATGATTATAGTACACTGAATATCCCACCCAACCTGACTGCCCACTTATCTTGTTCTCTGCGTTTGGCTGGCTCACTGGCTATCTGTCTACTACACTCTCAATACAACTGTCTCTCCTTCAGACAGTTGAGAATTTACAGGCTGTACCGGGAACTCCCGACTGCCAAACTCCTTCGGGAGGGGGGGGGGGGGGGGTTGCTAACATGCTGTATGTCTCCTGTTGTTAGCGGTTACAAAATGACTCTTTGACTCCAACGAGAGTCCAAGCAGAGAACTTCCTGCTCTGTCTGACAATGACACACTTCCTTGCAGAAGCCGCTCTTCGCAGACTTAGCTTAAAATAACCTCCAGTTTGATTTAACCCTTTGGGGTCAGTGCTACTGCTAATGGGATACTCGCTCAATCAGGATTGACGAGCCAGCTGCTGCTGTGCGCCACAGAAGCCTGAGTTTCATCCCGTCTCCCGTACCTCCTGTCAATAACGTGTCCTTTTTTTCCTTTTCCCTTTGTTTATTTTCTCTGTAAGTCTCCTGGTTTCCTGCGCCTCTTCCCTCGGCTCACATGAAAGGGAAATCATTTCTCTGCGATAATTCTGTGTTAGAGTGGAGATGAAAAATAATCAGAGCAAGCATATGATGTATGCTCATAGCTGTAATGTTGGATTTGCCATATGATACGATGGGAATATGCTACCATTCTTTCAGGGTTTGCTTATATAGTAATTATGTCTGTAACCGGAGTATAAATGTCTCCTGTGGTACATGATTTGAATAAATATAGGTTTTCTAAATTTGGCCGGGTAATAGGTTTAGGGGTGGAACACATGGTAAGTTGTGTTTATATCTTTTTTTCTTTGTACTTATATTGAAACAGTGCCAACTTAGCAGGCACATCATTTGGCAGTAGTATAGTTTGTAAAGAAAACTTCAGGCAGTGTTTGTACCGAGTGACTTCTGCACTCTGTCATGGCTCTGAAGCATGTGTGAATATGATACGAATGCTGCATACTTCACATTCAGTCTGAGCTCATTAATTCAACGCGCAGATGACAAATTGGCAGGCAGCTATCGATTGTCAGTAATAAGTAAGGCTCCAGGACAAGAATCAAAACAGAATCCAAGTGTTATTTCTCCGCATCGATTAGTTTGCCTTATATGTCAAGCGCTATCGTTTTTCTCTTTAGTTTTCATAACATGTTCTAATGTGTTACACTGGAACAACTGCTGCTTACGTTCCATTTTAGAGAGGCCAAATTGTAAGTGATCTTAAATATGTTGGTTGTAGTCCCCGCAGGTTGTTTATGTTTGTGAAGATGTTGTCCTTAACAGCCTTACAGCATCGAGAGCAAGCATGAAGTCACCATCCTCAGTGGACTCAATGAATTTGTAGTGAAGTTTTTCGGACAACAAGGAAGTAAGTGTGTTCTCTTTTCTAATTAAACACATATTTTCATTGCCCTGACAAGTTGAACAAGCTAGTTATTGTGCTCCATAAATTGCTCGTAGGGTTTTTATAATGCGTTTTCATCTGGGTTGTAAGAACTATAAAACTAATGAAAGAAGGTTTATGTTTGTTTCCACCACATGGGGTATAAGGCGCTCCCACTAATGCCCTTTCTGCTAAAACGTACAATCTATGAAGGGTAAACAGAGCATGAAATGACAAGGAACCTTGGACTGACACCAGCCATCACAGGAATCAGTCATTGAACACAAAGAGGCTTATCACAGCAGGCCAGGAATGTGACATGGATTGAAACCAAGACTGAGGCCACACTGTAAAAGTGAGGAGCTAGCCTCCAGGGGAAATTGGATGAGGAGAGTGGCCTCATCATCAGGAAATACTTCTTGTGCCATTCGTAACATCTGTCTCACTGAAACCACTGCACATCGGTAAAGAGGAAGTTGATATTTAACCCTGTTTATGATCCTCGTTACTGTGCCAATTATAAAGGCACTTTTGTCGGCCCACATGTGCTGCACAATACATCTTCAACAAGTGTGTTTTTAAGCCATATATGTGCTGTTCAGTATGGCACATAAGCATCACACAATATCATTTTCTTCCTCTTTGATGTTAGTGTTTTATATGAAGGAAATAATGTCCTTCATTACTGCATAAGATAAAGGAACATTTCAAAGGGAAGTAGTATGTGCAGCTCATTTCTCGAGCTGTCTTCTCTGTTGTGTTCCTGAGAGCGTGCAGAACATAATATAACTACACTGTGCAAATCCATTGGAGTGCATACATGATGAAATATGATGCTGAATGGAAGTCTCTCCTCTGCCCTCAACAGTGTTCTGTTATTATTTCTGTGTACAGCTCCGTACGAGGGAGGCGTATGGAAGGTGCGAGTAGATCTTCCTGACAAATATCCTTTCAAATCGCCATCAATAGGTAGGAGCACATGAGTGATTATAACATCAAGATAACCCTAGAACTTTTTGGGGTTCCACTTCACGTTTTCTAACACTTTCCTCTTCTCTAATTGCTTCTTCAGGATTCATGAACAAGATTTTTCATCCCAACATTGACGAAGCGTAAGTTGATGTTAGCCCTAAATCTGAAGTGTCTAACACCCATTTGAACCTTGTGTATTAAATCTTATGAGGTCTGCTCGTTGTGATGTCATGCTGGCCTACCTTATTGCCAACTAAAACCTTTGTTGAATGTGTTCATATTTCCTAATGTGTTTTATAGTATTTTCATGTTTTAGCTTCTATGACACATCAGCTAATGTTATGTTATCAGCCACCAGTTTTTTCACCATCAGCAGCAAATCACACCAATATAGAAATGGGTCAAGATCTTTTGTGAGTAATCCACTGCTTAAGAGGCCAGATCCTCTGAAGGACACTGGGTGTTTTCTCAATGTCGAGTAAAGCTGCTCCAGAGCTGCTATTTCAAGCATTGAGTGCCGCCGAAGGACTGTTCCAATGTCCAGCATACTTGGAATTCTACCGAGCCCGGCGTACTTCGTAGCGAGAAATTTCGAGGCTGCACTTGTGTAGACTCCGCGGTCTTAAAATCCCCACAATGCTTTGCGCACGGACCAATTTCCCCAAATCTGTGGCGGAAAATGTAAGGCGGGGCTTCTCATATGACGCACACCTGCACACTTGCTCGCCTGTTCCACTCTTCGTTTTCCGAATGCCAGGAAGTATTCTTGCCTAGCTTCTGAAGCAAGTGACTCGGAAGACATGTGCTACCAAGCAAGCGTACTCGACATTGAGAAACACCCAGCGTGTGTGAAGGTTGGTCTCTGGGAGGACTGGATGGACAGGCTAAACCTGGGACTCCTCCACTAATAGGACAGTCTGGTCTACCAAAAGCAAACAGAATGGTAAACACCAGGTATGCACTGAGGCAAGTTACATGTCAACCAGTTTTACAGTACAAGTAGTGTTCAACACACAATGGACACAGTTAAATAATGTGTAAGGGCAAATGTAAATAGATCCATGTAACTTCAAGAGTCAGGGTTATTATTCAAACCTATTGGTCTATTCAATTATCTATATTTCCAGAGAATGATCCTCACAACTTGTTATGTCCGACCTGTTCATATGATGTGTCATAGCTTGACAAGAATCTCCTGATGCACTTGACTGCCACACAACATGCACAATCAGAATCACAATTCCTTTATTTGTCCCCCAATGGGGACATTTACAGTATAAAAACAGCAGAAGTGTAGTGCAGATAATGTAAAGAGAATAGACTTGCATATTAAAAAATATATAATATAACAAAGTAGGCACACGTTATTGATAATAAAAAGTAAAAGTAAAAAACGATAGCAGTATATTTTTGAAAAAAGGGACAATGTAAGATGTAGCTGGTACTTTTTACATAGACATACTTGCATTTATATCACCTTTTTGTTCTCCACTTTGAGGCAAACAAAGGCCACATTTGCAGAAGGAACAGCCCTGTTGAACTGTTCTGGGTAGGAGAGAGGTCTTCTCTTGGGAACCAGCCCCTTCGCTGTATCACACACATGTTGGCTCTTCCTCTCACACCTCTAACTCTGTTATCTCCTTGGTTACCAGGTCAGGGACAGTGTGCTTAGATGTCATCAATCAGACATGGACGGCCCTTTATGGTGAGTGTCCAAACCGCTTATGTGTCCATATTGAGTTTCTCCACTGGGGTCTGTGTGTTGATGTGCAGAGAACTTGACACTGCCCTCAGCACCAAAAGGTGACGTCGGCCCCTCCATTGACCACATTAGGGAGTGGAGCACAATTGGCTGTAATCTACTTAGTGAGGGGAGAAGTGATCACTGAGGAGGTAATACCCTCACTCAGCAAGGTCAGGAAACATTCACCTCCGACGGGACTGATTCACGGAGCGTCAGCTGGCAGGGACATCACACATCATCTGTGTGTCACTCTGCTGCTCTCACTGTCACTTGGTCTCTCCATGTTGCCCTTCTCCCTATTTCCCCATTAACAACAGCTGTTGAGCAATATAAACAGCGTTAGAGTTATAACCCGAGCAGATGTTTCAGCATCCTTCCTCATAAATAAAAATGTAAGCAAATTCATTCAGAATTAACTCTGATTCCAGTGTTTTGATATAAAAGGGAAAACCGTGCATCCCATGTGAGTAAACTTGGCCTGTTTATTTTTCTTCTCTAAAATAAAGTCAAACCCCGTAAGAATCCCATTTGTACACATACAATGCTGCTGATTTAGTTTTGATTGGTGTTTCAAAATAGAAAATCTGATTGTCCTATCTTCAAAGTATGTCCAATCAACCAAGCATTGTCTGTAACGACGCTTTACAAAGCAAGAGGCAACAAAAGCAGCTGATTACTTCACTCAAACATGAGAACATTTGACAATTGAGGGGTAGATAAGTGTTAGTTTTCCCACTCAAATTATCCCATCAGTGACACCTAGGAGAGGAGAGCAGAACTGCATGTGTTTCCACTAGGCCTCGGCTCTGAGAGAAAGCTGAGGCCTGCTAGCAGGAGGCTAGTGACACAGATCAGTGTGGCTCCAGTCTGAGAGAGCATGTACACCATGTAAGGTTAACACTTTATGCTATATCTGTGTGTTGATTGTTCCTGTGGCAATAACAACGTACATAATACACAGACATGTAATTGGCAGAATACTGTGAGCTTTTCTCCATCAGGTTCCTTCAGAGAAATATTCAAATCTGACAATAACTGCCGTTAAATCACCAGATTATGTAATGATGTGATCACTTCTTCTTCCAGTTGTTAAAGTGGTAAACGTTTGCCTTCTTCTCCAGATTTGACCAACATCTTTGAGTCGTTCCTGCCTCAGCTGCTGGCCTACCCCAACCCCATCGACCCTCTGAACGGAGACGCAGCTGCCATGTACCTCCACCGGCCTGAGGACTACAAGCAGAAAATCAAAGGTTCAACATTCATATCATTACTGCACATCTGCTGAAAAACGGATTATCAGCATGTTAAAATGTGAAAATAAAGAGTAGAACAAACATGAAATATAAACATCTCAGAATAGAAAATAAATCGGAACTAAAAAGTAACATAGGTCAAAAGTTAACTGTGAAAGATAGAAGTCTGTAGACTATCCGACAAATAAACACTATGAAGGGCCAAAGTACAGCTAACACAATTGAAAAGTAGTTTATTATTTACATTACTAACCCTAACCCTGTGCAAGGAATGGCATATTAAATGAAATATAAACGTACAATTATAAGTCCAGTTAACAAAAGAGAAGCTATGGAGCTGATTTGTTCTCCAGTTATAGCAGGAGGAGGAATGTGTTCCTGTTCCGCTCTGAGGAATAACCTAAAGTCATTCTGATCATTATATTTTTTTCCCAGTCTGACCGTACTCTCTCTTTCTCTTCCTCCACAGAGTACATCCAGAAATATGCAACAGAGGAGGCTCTGAAGGAGCAGGAGGAGGGGGCCGGCGACTCTTCATCTGAAAGCTCCATGTCTGACTTCTCAGAGGACGAGGCCCAGGACATGGAGTTGTAGTGATGGGAGGCCCGCCTCCACCTTTAACCCCCACAGAGACTATATTTGATTTCCTAACCATGAGAAAGCAGACTTATAATATTCACATTTAAACAAGTTGATTTTTTATTATTATTATTACTAAACAAGGATTTTTATGGATATTTAGCCTTTGGTGTGTTTGACAGACACCCCTCCCGTTCTGTAGCTATTCTCCCTTCATCGCTTTCATACTCTCTCCCCACCATCTCTGCATTTTTAAGGTGTGTCATGTAAGCATAGGCAGGAAATCTCCCCGCGAGCGTCTTATTTATTTACTCAAATTTCACTTTTTTAAATATAAAAGTCTATTTGTTGATGAGCTGGATCCTAATTTTCTTTCCTAAATGATTCTGACAAACATTTAGTTAGTTGCTCCGCTGCAGAGCTGCTAAGGTCTAGCTTGCCTCGATGCACAGCTCTGCAATATTATCCTAAGGTGCAGACGGTTGTAGAGGCACACAAACCCACACAAGGTGTCATAGCACATCTTATTTAAAAATATTAAAAAATGTGGTGCCAATAGATGCTCATAACTCCCCCAATGCTTTCTGAGCATATATTTTTATACAAATTGAAAAAATTCTCGTTTAGTTCAAATAATACATTGGCATGTTACTTGAAGTCTTTGTTGCTCTCTGACCTGATTATTGCTAAATGAGGTCAGGTCAACGTATTAATAAAACACATGACTCGTTACAAGGGGAGTGACAACTCAACGTTACTGTATCACCACGGTAACAATGTAATAACTGGTCTTGAACTGGTTTAAAACAGAGCCACCCTTTAACCCTCTGAGTTTAAATGTTTTCGTTACACCACCAGACGTCTGCTTTCAATCACCTTTTTAAAACGCATTTCTATTCATATCATCGGTCAGAAACAACTCTTCAGGTAGAGAAAGAATGTAATCATCACCTATTCTGGTGAATTTAGAAAACCAGCACCTAAGTCAGTTTTATTTTAGATGAAAAGCAACAAAAATATAGAGAATTGAGTTTGTGAAGTATGGGTCCTCCTCACATTCCACTGTTCTCTGACGTTTCCTCCATGACCTTCATTCAGGTCTGACCTCTATGCTTGCCATCCAGGATTCAAATTTTGATCATTAGTTTGAAGATTCCAAAATAAGAGCCCAATGTGTGACATTTAGGCTTGTAGCCATTTTCGTAGAGGGGATCTCATTTCATCTGTACAGACTGGACTTCTTATCTGAAAAAAACAAACTTTGGTTTTATTCTGTTCTGATTCAATGTGGCTGGATTAGATGTAAACCCATCAAGTGTTGAAAGAAATTGCTGTTTTTTGTGTTTTATTCCCTGTATTATTATTTTTTGTGTACAGCAACTACCTTGTACAGCGATAATCCACCTCTCTGTAGTCTCATGAAAACTCAGTGTTGAACAGGAAACACTGAGCGAGTGTTTGTGGAGGCTGACAGTCAGACTACCTAGAAACCTTGACATGTATTCACTTCATAGATGGCAGTAAGAATCACTGGCTGCTTTGTTGCGGATCCTACGTGGGAGATTGGAGGCTAACTTAAAAGGTCACCGAATCGCTTCTAAACTCAACTCCTTTTCCTGTGCCTCATCACATAAGGACAGGTTTCCAAAAAGTAACTGAAAAGCACACTCATTACTTTCATTCTCCTCTTTCTGCAACGTGATCCTGGGAAGGTGTGATCAGTTGGAAATACCCTGTGTGGAGGCGCATTTGAGCTAATGTGGGATCTATGGCTCTGGTTTGAAATAGAGTTTGGTTCTTTCTTGTATATTGATTAGCATTTTCACCAGGGACATACTGGAGAGATGGAAGTCATACTAATATTTGCTGAAGTGTGCTTTAGACCGGATAGTTAGTTTCACTACTTCAAACAACATGTACTATATGGCTGTATTACAGATAGTTAATTAGTCTGCCATACATTCATCTGATCTTAGTTAGTGTCAGTTGTGAAATGTAAAACTCCGTAGACATGCCTGCTTGTCCTTTTCTTTTGGATTCAGAGTTGTACAGAGTGATTTCAAACCAGGATGATGTTGGACCTGTAGTGAGCCTGATGGATCTGAATGTACAGAAATGAAAAGTGGATCAGAGAACTTTACAAAACATAGGCATTCTTAAAAAAAACTGAGTTTCTCCCATCAGCCCGGGGGGGGGGGGTTGAATGCTAGCTGGGGGTTAGCGTCCAGCAGGATGCAGACGTTTTAACTGTCGCTACCTTGTGTGGTGCTCAGCAGGCAGTGAGGAGATATGTGAATGTTTTCATGTGTTCAAAATGTTTGTGATCCACTGAAACAGAACCAATCTGCGCACTAAGCAGATCCCCCACTCTCCCTTCGCTGCCTACAGATGTTTATTTATTCATTAACTCCTTCTTTTTTTTTTTAATCTTGCCCATCAGAGCCTCTGTTATCAGTTAGGCTTCACCCTGATGAGAACTTGATGTTGAGTTTTTACTTTTAAGCCATTCATATTGGACTTCTTGTTTTACTTTACATTTGTGCAGTATTGTACTTGAGTGCTGAAAATACCGTATATCTGAGTTGAGAATTGTAATAAAATAGCACATAATGATGCAATGGTGCAACAGGGGACTAATGATATTAGTGTCTTTTTTTAAAGCAAGACTTTTGTGTTATGCATACATTTGGTTTTCAGCATTATTTGCATCTGCTGGGCAATACATTGATGATACACTCGGCTCTGGTAAACAGGACGACCTTCAGATCGTTCTCTTTCCTGCTCTGTTATTCAAGGTCGACAGAAAGACTGCCTTTGTGTTTCAGGTTGTCTTCAGCTATAGAGAAAATGTCCTGAAACAAGTGAATGATGATGCTCCCCATTGCAACTTGAATTCTAAATTGACAAAAAACATGTTTACTGCGCTTTTTATTGTTCCTTTTGGCTCCTCCCCCCCCCCCCCCCCTTTCTCGTCCTTACAATAACAAATGTCTTAAGTTTTTAACACAACCTCAAAATTGTAAATGCAAACCTGCTGAGAAGCTCCATAGTCCCACACCCGTATTCACAGCACACACAGCATGGAACATTACGGTTTTTTATAAAACTATGTATTTGTTACCTAGTGTGATACTTGAGGGTTAAAAGTCAAAAGGTTTTTTCTGTCTTTGTTCTGAAAAGTCCATCCCTGGTCCTATTTTTATCACCCCCTTTGCCCCCCTCTTGTTTTTCTTTGCATTGTGAAGTGGGCATGCTTGTCAAAAAGACAAATGCTCTCTATTAATAGGCTTATAACCTCATAAATAGCTGTGTATAAAATAAACTGTTATAACTTCTTTTTTAATAAAACATTCAATGTGTATAAAAGGTCTTCGTCTGAGCTGATGATTCTTGGCTGTGACTCCTGATACTCTGATCTGTTGGCAGTGACCCTAAGCGTATGGATGTCTAATCCCATTCACTATCCATCAGAACTGTGAAGACCCTGCTTCTTGTATGCAGTAAGCTTGCTTTTAAATCTCATTTTAGAGTTTCAATGGTCTGAATTGGAATGCCACATCTGCTGCGGGAGTATCTGCGTGCGCATCTCTCCCAGATGAGCTGAACAGTTATTTTGCTCGCTTCGAGAGCAGCCAGGCTGGGGGTGCAGAGAAGGATCAGGACTCCCGTGCCCTTTTGTTTTAGACAGGGCAGATGTGTGTAAATCCTTTTTAAAAGGGTTAACCCACACAATGCTCCTGGACCTGGCATCCCTGGCCGTGTTCTCAGGGTGTGTGCAGTTCAGCTGGCAGAGGTGTTCACAGACATCTTCAACAGGTCCCTGCTGCAGTCTGTAGTCCCCCACATGTTTGAAAACACCATCGTTCCTGTCCCCAAAAAGACAAAAATCACCAGCCTCAACGACTACCGCCCAGTAGCACTCACCTTCATCATCATGAAGTGCTTTGAGCGGTTAGTCAAATCATTCATCACCTCCTCCCTCCCTGACTCTCTGGACCCCCTGCAGTTTGCCTACAGAGCAAACAGGTCCACAGACGACGACATAGCCCTCACCATCCACACTGCCCTCTCACACCTGGACCAGAGGAACACATATGGGAGAATGCTGTTCATTGACTACAGTTCAGCTTTCAACACCATTGTGCCCTCCAAGCTGGTCATCAAGCTCAGAGACCGCTCGGGCTCAACAGCGCCCTCTGTGACTGGATCCTGAACTTCCTGACGGGCAGACCCCAGGCAGTGCGGGTGGGAAACATCACATCCTCCACCCTGATCCTCAACACCGGAGCCCCTCAAGGCTGCGTGCTCAGCCCTCTCTACTCCCTGTTCACACACGACTGCGTGGCCACACACAGCTCCAACACCATCGTGAAGATTGCTGAAGACACAACCGTCATCGGCCTGATCACCGACGACGGCGTACAGAGAGGAGGTCGAAAACCTGACATCTTGGTGCCAGGATAACAACCTCCATCTCAACGTCAGCAAAACAAAGGAGCTGATTGTGGATTACAGGAAGCAGCAGAGAGAGGGACACGCCCCCATCGCCATCAATGGGACTACGGTGTAGAGAGTCAGCACAGCAGCAGCTTCAGGTTCCTCTGTGTCCACATCACTGGCCTGACATGGACTCTTCACACTACCACCATCACCAAAAAAGCTCGACAGCGGCCCTTCTTCCTCTGCAGGCTGAGGAGGTTCAACATGGACTCCAGGAAACTCTGCAACTTCGACTACAGGTGCACCATAGTAGAGACTCACTAGAGAGTATCCTGACTGGCTGCATCACGGCCTGATATGGCAGCTGCACTGCCCTCAATCGTAAGGCTTTACAGAGGGTGGTGCACAGAACATCACCAGGGCGGAACTGCCATCCATGGGAACCTTTACTCCCAGCGGCTCAGGAAGAAATCCCTCCAGATTATAAAAGACCCCCATGACCCCAGCCACAAACTGTTCTGTCTGCTGCCGTCTGGCAGGCGGTACCGCAGCATCCGGACTAAAACCACCAGATTCAGAGACAGCTTCATACCACAGCAAGGGCGGATCTAGACAAATATTCATGAAGTGGCAAGAGGGTGGCAAGAGATTTTGAGGGGTGGCATCCCCTGGCAGAAGTATGCTGATTTAATCGCAGTCATATCAATCAATGTTAACTTGGAAAGCCACTATTGATATTGTAACTCAATAACATTAGGTGACATTATTGTGGCACATCAGTAAAGCCTTACATATAAATATATAAGGTGGCACACATCATTTAATGAATTTTAACTGAACAATAACTGAATGAGTTTGTTTCACTCTTAGACCAGCAGGGGAACCAAATCTATGAAGACTGCTGCAATAAGTACATTAATTAACTGTCTCATCGATGTTTGTCTGAATGAATATGATACTATTAACAATCATATTATTCCTATCAGCTGTCAATCACTGTTATGATTCACATATTCATTTATTATTGAATAAACTATAGTTTTTTGGAGAGTTAATGATGAATGTTCCACAAGATGCTTGCTCACCCTCCTTCAAATTTGAAAGACAAGTAATTACTATCATAAATCAAAAGATTCAAAGGAACAGTTCAGCGCCCCACGACTTTACTGCAAACAGTTACAACCTTGACTTTACATCAGAAAGAACAAACATTAAAGAAGTGACTAACTGCATCAGTTAGGGTTAAAAAATGTGTATTAAGCTAAAACATAAACATCGCTGCAGTTATTATCCAGTGGATTGTCCTTACCTACTGGCCTAGTTAAATCAAAGTGGTTACTTGTTTTTGGCTGGGCAGTGAAGTTTTACACACCGTCTTATTTGACTTTCTCAGGACTTAAAACTGTTTTTTGGGGGCAGACCCCCTCAAAGAAAAAATATATATACACACATACAAGGTCATCATCTTAACAGTTGTTTATGCTCATCAAGTCATCCGTGAGCAGAGCATCAAGTTGGCATGTCTATTACAGCTGAATGCGGCTATTACCATCTTGTTCAGCAAAACGCCTCACAAACTTATTAAGATCCAAAGCTTTAGTGCGTTTTGGTTTTGATTCAATGCTGAGTACAGCCAAACTTCACAGTCTCTTCTCTGTCATTGTAGACCGCAAATACCGAATGCTTCTCATTATGCGCCACCCCCCGTTCAAATGAAATCGCTGCCAATCATATGTCCAAGCTCGCGCCAGGGCCGGGGGGAGGGGTTACAAGACTCGCGTCTTGTGCTGCATTCACTTGCACTCGGACATTAGAGATTTTCTCTCATAAATGTCCGATGAGCCACTACTTTTCTTTTAAACAAAGATGCCAACTGGGGTGGCAGCTGGGGTGGCAATGCTATTTTTTAGGGTGGCAGTTGCCACCCCATGCCACCCCGGTAGATCCGCCCCTGTAACCACAGGCAAGACTGCTAAACACCTGAACTGCTGAAATAACATCTGTTAAACACCTGAACTGTTGAAACAACATCCATAACATTCATCTGCTACTTAGAAATTATTTATCTAATATATCATTCCAACAACTTGCATACAACTCTTATTGCACTATTTCACTTTTTTAAACTATTTTCTTTTTGTATTTATTATTTACTATTACTTGCACTATATTGTTCTGTTTATCTGTGTTATTGTGTTGCACTGTTGGAGAAGCCTGTGACCTAAGAATTTCATCGGCATAACTACACTGTAGATATGTTCGTATGATAAAATAAAGAACCTTGAATCCTGAACCTTGAATTTGTTCGCTCCGTTTTCGTTTCACACAAGTTGTAACCTGTGGATCCGTATCATCTGATAAGTGTGTATCTAAATCTCCCTCAACTCTCTCAGACCTGAATTCCAGCTGTGTCCAGAGGCTGGAAAATCCTGATGAACATGTTCAAGGTAAACAAAATGATACAAATCATTTAATCAATGTGAAAACTGTTGATTCCATATAAATGCACATACTTCTTTAGCCATTTTAACACTGTTTATATTGCGCAGTGTGTTTTACGACCCGTGCCCTTTATTTATAAAAACGATTACACAGACCACTAAAACTAAGCATTTTAATACTTAAACGGAGTCACTTTCAACACTTTGAATGTCTATTATCTAAAGTCAGAGGTGTAAAGTAACTAGTAGATTTACTAAAGTACTGTACTTAAGTAACATTTTTAGGGAACTTGACCAGAGTATTTCATTTTTTTGCTATTTTTTACTGCTACTTCATTAACTTTCTCAGGTAAAATTGTGTACTTTGTAAGAGTCGTGAGGAGCTGATAATTTATTCCGGTAAATTACTCAGACCTACTAATTAACCTGACAGAAGTTATTGAGTCTATGTAAGTTTACTGCTTGGCTCAGATCCACCAACGTCAGCAAGATCTCACCTCTATTAACTCCTTAAGAACCATGTTCAATTAACTGCTGTTTCAATTCAGACAACTCTCTTAAATCTGTTTAAGCGATCCTGAAGGATTTTGATATCAGTAAATGAGGTGTGACCCTACCTAAGTGTGAGTGTGGCAGGGTGAAATCTTACCTTTGAAGCAGGAGAGGAGAGCACAGATGTCTTTTAAGTTGTCCCATCCAAAAGGTGGGATCAGTTTATTTGAAGAAAATAGGTCCAAACAAATACAGGGTTTTTACCTTCTCTCTTTACAACATTATAATCATACTAAACCTATCATGTTGTGATCATGTTCTAATATGAAACTTTAATTCACAGTTTTACAGTTTTACATTTAAATTGTAACTTCAACTGCCCAATTCAGTTGTGATTTTTATAGAATTGAGAGGTCTTACCTCATAAAAGACCGGTGTTAATAAAAAGCACATTCAAGCTTTCATTCAACAAATCAGTTCATTTGCTCATTTCCACATTCGTATACTTCAACTAGTCCCGCATGAATTCGGAGGACCTTTCCTCACAGGTGGCAGGGTACTAACTTTCAACAAACATCAATTCATTCCACTCATTTCACAAAGAAATTCACTCAGCTTTCAACAAAGAAATTCGAGAGATATTTACCAAGTTTGAGAGAACTTTACCGAGAGCAACAACCCAGCTCTCAAGGAGAGAGCTTTTACCGGGAGAGAGTATACCAGGGGAACCCCCCCCCCCCCCCTCTCTCTCCAGCAGTGTCTTTATGCTCAAAAAACAGGATAGAAAACCTAAAGACACCTCCTCCATACCCATATTTGTGGAAACTGGGCATGGCCTCTGATGTACAGGACTGGACATGACCAGACATATTCTATGGCTATGTCATAAGACACACCTTCCCATGTTTGTGTAAAAAGGACATGACCCCTACTCTGCAGGACTTGCAAAATATTATTCTCGGCTATGACATAACCACTTTTTGGGGCCTCAAT